GGTATTCCCAATTTATTGTCAGTTAATACATAAAAGTGCTACCGGCATTCAGAGTTCAGACCCATGAACTCGATGACAGTCAAAGTTTATGATGGTTGGTTTAAAAAAGATACTAATTAAGTCAGATTAGAAATCTTGGACTCATTTGAACAAGAATTTGAGCTATGTTTCGGATCTTGATTCCCTTTTAAAAAATATTTTCTTTTTAAGTCGCTAAATATTGTGGGTTGGACTCATGTAAGAAGGGATAACAACCCATCAGCTTGCAAATTTAGTGCCTTTTGGTGTTAAACAATGTTCTGTAAACCAATGTCTGTCAGAGCCTCAGAGGTGGCCCCATAAGTACTCATGGGCAAGATTGTCTTTATGAAGCACTAAAGTTTTCCCTCAAAAGAAAATAAGAAAAGACTCTTCAATCTTAAGTGTCAAATTAAATTTCAGGATACTACAAATAAAGTTCTCAAATTCTCTATGAAATTAAGTTATACATTTACTCAATTGCCTTTTCAATAATTAAAGGATTGACGCATGTTTACATACGAGAATATATGTAATGAATGAAAAAGTGCTCTAGCCACATGGGTACTCTTAGTATCAAGGTCAAAAGTTAATTTAAAACGTTGTTTCAGGATGAAGGGATATCACAATAATGCCTCGTAATTTGTGGAATCCACGATCGTCAAGTATAAACCCCATTAGCTAAATTCAACATTCACAACCACCATATTAGAAAACATCAGCACCAAATACAGTCACCTAGAATTTCTTCCAATCAACAACTAAGCATAATTTACCTTTCTCTAGGTTCCCTTAATCCCTTAACAATACAATACAACACCTTACATAAAGGTCTTCCTGCATCCTGCCTCCCAAAGCCTAACTCAAAGCAATACAGCACCTTACATCCAGCATCATTTGGTTCACAATACAATGCTATACACTTTATAAACATAGTGGTCAATTTATACGAATATATGAAGGATTATTCTAATAACTGAGCAAAAGTTATAGCACGCTAGAGAAGCAAAAGGGTTACAGGGTATCACAAGGAAAAAAATATTTGATGAGACGAACATTTTTGGATTGTGGAGCTGACACAAGAATAGGAAGTTGGCTACAGTGAGATTGAGTGCAGGGCAGGCTTGTAGTTAAATTGGAGCGATCTGATTTGCAAACTTAAGATCCAATAAGTACTATTAACTAAATCGAGTAAAACAAAACATTATATTGTGAGAGGAGATATATTTACAGATTAATCTCAGAGATCAACTTGAATTTCCCCCTTTAATTACTTAATTTTACTAGGATACTCACTATAAGATCCTATCACTATGTAGACCTACATAATTATGTTTATGAAATATCGGATAGGTAAAGGAGAAGATGGGCAGTACTTATTGCAAAATATAATAACATAAAATTACTTCACAAAATCATTTTATAATGCAAAAAGATGTTTTCCATCAAAATACAATTTGTCCAGAACAAACAATGTAGCTTGTTCCCCAGAAAATCTTCACCTTTTATGCAAATTCTCAAGATTCAATTAATGAATCGATCAATCTCCCTTGAACTTCAAGTTAAACTACCTAAATTCTGTCATACCTCACACCAAGAAAGTTGAACACACCCGACTTACCAGCAATGGAAATCAAACAAATACAACACCCCAATGTTAGCCCCTGTTCCGTTACTGATTAATGAGAATCAAACAACTATCATAGAGGTAGTTCTACAAAGTCAATGTTCCTGTCAATCTAAATTCAAAATCAAAGTTTTTCATTGTTCCCAACTAACCCATCATCATCATCTACCAGTAAGTAATGCATGCAAAATTCGCAAAATTAGTCAACTAATTAGACCAATTACTATTTCTCAAAATCAAATCAAGAACTACATCAAAGTAACAACAACCAAAATTTACCAAAATGAAAACCCATCAAAACAAACATAAAATCAAATCAAATCAAAAGTGCAGAATCATAAACTACAAAATTAGTCAAAAAAAAAAAAGGGCAGAAATTTACCACTAAAAGCAAGGCCATAACAAGCAACAACACAAGTCTGAATGACAGTATTTTCCTGACGAGTAAAGGGCTTGACAGAAAACCCCAATTGATTAAGGACACCAGTCCATGATTTCACAAAGAAGAACCCTAATAACCCAGCAGCAACATTGAGAGAAGGGATAATTCCAACAGTCAAATTCAATTTGTGGGTAATTATACAAAAAAGGGTACCCAATAAAGCACTCACTACTAATCCCCTTATAGTAATTTGATCTTGCCATTCAGGAATTATCTCTTCAACTGGGCTTTTTTCATTGATTTTATCCCCCTCTAATTCTTCGATTAATGGCTCTGTAATCTCTACCTCTGTCCCCATTTTCTGGGATTTTTCTCACCAATATTTGGTAATTGATCTGGGTTAAGGAAGAAGAAGGGTTGTTGAAAAAGTTGAAGGATGAAGATGATTGTGACAAGCAAAGTTGAGGAGAGAGAAAGCAGATAGTTGTGATTAAAATATAGGGATTATTCAGGTAAGCAGAAAGTTTGTAATTCCAAGAAAAGTTTTTACGTCACGCCATTCTGGATTACTGGATGTTGATGGGGGTGGAGAAACTGCTGCAAACCGCAGTCTTTACCAAATCAAGCGCAGTGGAAATGCGCAACTATAGTTATTTAGCTGGGCAGGGCCAGACTAACATGAGGCTGGTCCTAGCTCGAAGAGCGATTATAACCCCGACATGACATGAGAGACGATTAATATTTAAAGTCTAGAACAATGGCATGCTTATTTTTCATTTTTGTAATAAAATAATTGACACATTATAAAGTTTTTTGGTTTAATCAAAATGTTAAAACATTGTGTAATTAGTGTTTATATATTTTCATAATAATATCAACATTATACTACTTATAATTTAAACTAATATGAAGTATATTAATTATTACCCGTCAAACTTTTGTGTTTATTATGATTGTCAAATTGTGTCAATCATTTGGAAATGATGGATTAGCCAATATTTTTAAAAAATCATAAATAAAATATTATTAAGGGGTCTATTGGCATGACACGTGAATTAGGCTTTGTTTATAAAATATATCACCACAAGCTTGAGAGCTGATAAAAGTCTTTTATCATTCCAAGCACGACGTATAACACTTGAGCTTGCACTGCCCGATTCTTGTCCTGTGTCTAGGGGCGACTATGAAGAGTAATCGATTCATTTTTACTATGCAAAATGATCCATAAAAATATGTCCTTGATATCTTTTTTAATGATACAATAAATCATATTGTATTCTTCTAAAAAAAAAAAAGTTGTTAAGAATTTCATTAAAAAGGTTGTTATTCGTCAATAACCATTAAGCTTGCTTTATTCTAACTTTAAAAGCTTAAAATGCACAATTTTTTAAGATACATGAGTTGATGAGTAATTTTAAAGAATTAAAGAGAGAGAAAAACAAGGATAAAACCTTAGAATTTTTGGTTAGTAACCTATATTTAAAACCTTTTCAATTTTTACCACTTATAATATGTTCATCTATGATTTGAAATATTATTGCTTTATACGAAGTATGATGTAGCCATAACTTGATTCATAAACTCTTGTATTACACAATTGACTTACTGATTTGCTAGCTAAGAATTCCTATTGGTAGCAAGAGTAAGAACCAAGGGAATAATATTTATAGCAATGTTTTTCAATTCATTTTTTCAACAAATTCTTGCATAAAATGTATATACAAGTTTTTACTACTAATAATCAATCACCAAATTACATATAAATACATTTTAATATCTCTTTTGCAAGTCAACTAAATCTCACAATACACCCCGTCTATTTCAATTACAATTAAAGACTTGGACTAAAATATCTAAAACACCTCATTCACTTGAAGCAAACTCCCTAAGAAAGGATGATTAGAAAAGAAACAAACTATATCTTCTATCAATCCTCTCATCCAAGTGATTTTATGGCCTATATCTTCATCTAATATAATTGAGTATTAATTTGTAGTATTGACGACTAGATGAGTATATACTTATCATAAAGAGATCTCCCAAGTTCCCTACCTTGGTTATAGTCCAATAGAATAAAATGAAAGTTGTTAGTGCCCATTCTAAAAAGTTTCTGTCTAATGCATATAATTTTACAACAAATATCTTAATCACTATATCTTATGCCCTACTAAATCTTCATCTTTTTTCTTTTTTACTATTATTAGTATTATGGAACTAAGATGCAAACTATAATGTCATACAAATAAAACCGCAAAAAAAATAAATAAAAAATAAATAATAATGTCATACAAATACAATCATAAATATTGTATACCCAATAACTCCACATGAGTGATGATGATTTATGTTTTCGTAATCTTACTTTTTTTAATAATAAATAAATAGTTAAGATACACATGGAATCGGGGTATAAGATATTTTATAATGGTATTTGTATGAACATCATCATCACATTGATAGGTACAAAGTTACAATTTTAAAAATTACAATTCTATTTTTTTTTTACTACCTCCTCTGTTAACTTTAACAGTCAGTTACAACTTTGGGTTATTATTTGTGAGGTATAAAATATTCTAAAGTCACAACTGAAAGTTAACGGAGATAGTATATAGTCTTCAAAACAGAACAAAGTGAGAAGTTATTTCCAATTAGTCCATTAGTATCAAACTATCAATCATCAACTTAAACTCAATGGTAAAGCTTTCATGTTCCAAGGTGTTTATGGTAGTTTTTCCTCACCATATAATAGGATGATGATCCAGGGTCAATATATTTCAAAATCAAAGGAAAAATAGTTCTTCTATAATAATTTTTAAGCTGGTAAGGTAAGAGCAAAGAAATGGTATGAACTCTCACAATCTCTCAATAGTTGGGCTTTTTATCGCCTTAGACACATATTATCATTAATATCATCCACATATTATCCCAAACAAAATCAATTATTTGTTTTACCATGTTTAGGATAAATTATAATTTTCTAGTCATAAAAATTCTTCCTGGGCATTTCAAGATAGAGGTGATTGACCGATTGACCCCATATTTCTCTTTCAACGAACACAAGTATATGAGGTTGACAAAATCTTATTAAAAAAAAGGGGTAGACAATATCTTAAAAAGAAGAGGTTGATAATAAACATCTATCCAATCCTCAAATATTTAGCCAAACCTTTTAAAGGTTCAATTGGAGGCTTTGGTAGCACGCGTACTAATAGCAAACACATACATGGAACTACCTCCGATCAGCCCCTGTTCATCCGTATTAAGTCAGTGTCAGTCCAAATGTTTAGAGCCAAAGTATAATCAAACTGAAAGGGGGAAAAACACAGATGAACACTGAATTACTCACTCACTTAATTCCAGGGAAGCATTAGAAAAAATGGCAAACCAGAGTTGATAACCATTTTGGAGCTTTAGAAACAAATGAACCTTTACAACTTGAAAGCGACCTCTTCTTAGTTTTCGATAAATTTTGTTGAGTTCCCTTAAGTAGGTTGGGCATTTTCAGGGAGGACTGAAAGAAGGTTGCTGTTAAAATTTTGTGCAGCAGCAAAACTGCAACAAATTGGAGCTGCAATGTTATCCTGCAAAAGTAGACAGTACTGTTTCCATTAATACAGTAAATACACAAACTCTAATCTGAAACCTAAACCAAAATCATAAATCAAGTGTTATCTCCATTTCCATTGTTATACATCACTCCAACTAAGATCAAACAAAAATCAACCCTTTAATGCACAGTTACCGCACTCGTATCTGCAAAGTTCATCCAGCTTACACATTAACCCCACATGATAGTTCATATATAGTACCAAGTATTACTCAAATAAAAGCGGAAAGCACAAACTTTGTTCCTTAGCTTTTATAAGTTTCTTCATCTTACATGCAAGTGGCAAACAGCTAGTAGTCAGGTAATAACCATCCAGATCACAAAACTATTTCACAATTATTGAAGGGAAGAACACAGATAAACACTAGACCGGCAAGGAGGTAACTAGGCAGAGAATGGAGAACTATATGAATCCAAAGAGCTTCGTTACAATTGCAAAAGACAGATCAAGGTAAAGGTAACTTCATGAAATGATAATACAGACCATAAGTGGAGAATACACGTGTGATTAAACACATTAAATTCATAACAAGTCGTTAATCAGTAGTATCCTTCCTAATGTGGAAAAATTCAACACATTAAATCCAAGCATCCAACCTTCCTAAATATGTTAAGCAAAAAATGACAAATAGCTAATCCATCTGCAGTTGCCTATCAATTGTGATGGCAAACCGAATTAAGATCTTAAGGAAAAATTATATCATTTCTTAGTGCACGATTATCAAGGTTAGCAAAGCTACAAAAGCTTACTGTACATGTAACAGCCATCGTATGTTCAGAGATATCTAAGATAGTAGATAAAAATGCAAAGATACTATAACATGAAAAGACATATGTTAATAATGTAATGGCCATCAGATGTTCAAAGGAGCCTAATTAGATCTCAATGCAGAGATGACTATAACATGAAAAGATATTAGCTTACCTTCATCTAACAGATCCCTAAAAAAAAACCTTCATCTAACAGCTATTTAGGTAGATCCTAAAGGTGAAAATGCAAATTATTCTGAAATCAAGGGCAGAAATGCCAGAAGAGGATTTAAGCACTTGTATGACATCTCTAAGACAAGCTAAAAAAAAATAAACAAGTTTAAAATGTAGCATATTGACCTCTAGAAGTCTAGAGTTTCCGTAAGCAAACGAGACGAATAAATAGCAAAGGTGTTCACATAAGCAAATGAAAGTGTGATATGCAGCATGCTTCTTATACAAAAGTACAATACACATGATAATGTATATAATGCGCATGCCACAACCATGTCTCTCCCAGTAGTTCTTGTAAAACGCATACATGCAAGGACCAAAGCCAACCATATAACTAGACCTCACAAAACCAACTCATACAGTTTATGCCCTATTTAGATGAGCCGATTTACAGATGAACTATAATTAATCTTATCCAAATTTAAAATGACTAATAATCTAATATTGAATGATTTGTCACAATAGGCTCTTTGACAATAGACCCAAATCAAATTAAATCAACCTAAATAAATCAAATGACTCATCACCCGAATATGTCCGGAATCGAATTGACCCAAAGAAAAACCCGATTTGAATGACAGTTGGCACCTTCTACATGCAACCATAAGGCTGATCTCAACGTTAATCTGAAGCAACTATATAAATGATTTATTTTTTTTAAAATAAATAAATCCAAGAATAGAGATAGGGAGGACTCTTATAAGACAATCTTGAACCAAAGGGTTAAAAAAAAACATTCCCAATCCCATATAAAAGGCTCATACAAATACTTGCCAATTGATGTGCCAAGTCAGACGATTTCCATTATTTTAGTGATACAAGAGCATGTGATAGTAATTTTGTGAACCAAGAGAAGAAAAGAAAAATAAAAAAAAAAAACTTTACATGACTGCAGACATACTGCTATCCTAAATTTCCACAAAGCTCTTAAAAGAGATGAGGTCTGAAGCACACCACGTAACTCAGTGTGGCTGATCATTAAAGAGCAATGTAACCTATTTGTAACATATGTCATCAGCAAAACCATAGCAAGACGGGACAATCAACAGAATTTAGAAAAGTAATAAATGATGAACATAGCATCTTAAAGAGTTAGTAGAGTAAGCCAGAACCTACTCCACAAATGTTGACCATGACAAGATAATCCAACCTCAATTTGTACTTTTCTAAGTGTTTCTTCTGTCTATTTTTTCGTTGCAGTCTTCTAGAGGATTTTACTACAATCATTAAATCATAAAAGGATGTCCAGTGTGGCCACAACTTCTTATATATTATCACCCAAATCATCAAATTTGGAAAGCAGAGTCAAATTTAAGAAAAGGGCTGAAGGATATCACAATGAAGGTATGTAAACTCCTCCTTGCACAACATACAAATACCTTTTATTCAATCTAATTCTGAGTTTATGTAATTATTCCATGCAGTTACTCAGCTGGATGCACCGGAAGTTCCAAAAAGATGCCACAAGTTCATTGCAAACTTTGGTTGTTGGTATGACCACTCACAGTTCTTTTAAATATCGCACCTAATATATCTCTGGCTTTATGATTTGCCGCTGTAGAAAAAAAAATACAGTGCATCTGTTATCACCTTGTCAGTGTACAAAGTTAAACCTGCAATTAAATGTTAAATGTCAAACATTCCTCCAGCAAATACATTTGAAATCCATAGGAGATTGTTTCCAAATATAATTAGCACTGCAACTATCTGGGGCCTACACAACTTCCTAATTTCAATTTTCTCTGGTTTCAGGGAGCACTTGCACTTGCTTGTTGCTAAAGCCATCAGCCAACAATCACGGAGAATACAAAACACCAAGTAATGACTCCATACAGAGGTGGCAATCAAGACAACAATGCCAACACCACCTTAAGGAGATCAATGATGAGAACACAGAAGAATTCAGTGAAAATCAATCCCCAGATATATTCCCAGGCTTCCTAACAATTGGAACTCTAAGTGTAGAGTCGATATCAGAGGCCCCAACGCCAACATTTGATTTGCCTCATCAGGTTGCAAATGAAAGTGGAATGGCAGAAATGAGATATGACTTGAAGCTTATCAATGAAGAGTTGGAAAAATTTCTTAAGGTTGAAGCTGAAAAGGAAGGAAACACTGATTTATCAAGGAAAAACAGTGAAGCAAGCACTATAACCCTCAGTGCAGAGGTAAAGGAAGATGAAAATGATCACAACTCTGTCAAAATGTATCCCCTGCAAGGATATCTTTTTGGATCATCCAACGAACTTCTGGAAAGTAAACCAAAGGAAAAGAAAGATAAGGCATCCCTCTTTGAGCTATTTACAAAGAACACAATAATGGCCAGGAGCTCCATCAAAGAGGCTGACAAATCCCAGAAACAAGCAGCAAAAGGAATAAAGTCGTCAGATAATCTGATTAACAAGATACTACACACAGCTCAAATTTCTCATAAAATCTCCAATTTTTTTAGTGGCCATGCAGCTGAATCATTTCCGACTACAAGAAAACTCAACAAGGTAAGTCTTCCAACACTCTATCCCTCCTCCCTAACCAAAGGAGCTGTTATACTATCCTGAAATATTAATTACACATAGTGCTAATAGAAGCCTAAGATATAACTCAAAGGGTATGATTTCTTGAATACTGCTTGCTGATACTATTTTATGAACCGTGTAACACAATTTCTTCAAATTATGGACATAAAGAGATAGACTACCTTTACAACCAGGAATCAAAGCTTGCACAAAATCAAAGACCATCATGCAGCCAACTAAGTGGTTTACTATGCCAAAACCAAGTCTAGTCTTCTAATTATTAGTAGATTAGCTAAATCGACTCTAATTTCAGGCTTATGGATCTCTTTCAACCATATCAATAACTATATACTAAAAGACACCAGCAATGGCACGTTTCATCTTCTGGTGTGTCCTTAGTAATTTATATTTTTTTTTGAAAAAAATCAGTTATGGTATAAAATAATAAAATAATCTTATACAATTTTTTTTTTTTATATATGTTAGTAACAAAGATAATTACTTGAAATAAATAAGATTTGATATACCTTTCCACACAAAAAAATTATGACTATAATAAAAAGTATTAACATAATTTGCGACTTACTTTGATTTACTTTAAGAAAGTATTCATTTATTTTCCCTAATAGTTGTTTATTTATTGATCAGAATTCACATCAAAGTAGTGTGCATATATATTTTATTTTATTTTTTAAAAGAATTTTTAACTTTTGTAAAATAACCAATTATAATAAAAAGTTGATATTAATTTTTAAAAGTTACCGTGCATGACACAGGACCTAAACTAGTTGTATACTAAATTTATGTCTTACTAGTTCACTGCATTTTATGTTAGCAACCAACAATAATAAAAGAAAATGAAATGGTGTTGTGTACTTCAAAACTTAGACCATCTTATTCTGATAAACTCTATAATATCCCAACTTTAGGTGGTGCATTTTCATGATAATCCTAAGACCCTCAACTAGAGTCTTATTTTCAATGACACCTCTATGTAAAAAAACATCAAGAACACACTAAAGTTTCTTCTCTCTGCATTGTGAACAACTTTTGTTCATATATCATCGCATTGAGGTAGTTTATCTAAATTTAGCCAACCATAATGGAATTGGGTTTTCTAAAATATTATTTTGAACTCTAAACAACACCAAAATTGGGTTAATTAACAGTAAATTATCTTAATTTAACGCTTCAAAGAAAGAAAGAAAAAAGGTAATTAATGCAATTAAAAAGATGAAAGAGCAAGTCAGGGTGTATCTGGGAATATTATCCAGTTATCCTGTTAGGGTCCTAGGGGTGTCATTGAAAGAAGGAGCCCAACTTAAGGATGCTATCTAGCAAACTATCCTTTTAAAGGTATATTTGTAATCATGGGAAATATATTCCCAATAGCCTTTGGAACTTAAAATTGTCTTTCTCAGCATAACATGGAATTAAGAATAACCTACATGATACAATCTATCATCCACAGATCAACCAGCTTTTCCACAAAAAAGTTCACCCTGAAAACAGCAAGGCTGCATATGCTGTGAAAGACCCCAAGGTCAGCAAGTACAAGTACAAGCACAAGACTCCCAACTCCAGTAATATAAGGGTAGATTCAGAACTTGGCAGTGAAAGGAGTAAAATTAGGTGCTGGGGTACACTCAAGAGAGGAAAAAGACATTGCTCCAAGACCGATATGAAACTACCACGTGATGCAATCACCGGGAAATATTTGGATCTTCCACAAAGATACACTAATGGTGAATCTGGTGACGCAGACAAGGAGCATTGGATCAACACAGATGAAGAGTGTAAGTGCACATGCATCATCATTGGTATAAATCACATTTAATAGTGTAATTAATTTAGTATTATAATTATTTTTAAGTAACAAACTCCTAAGGTTGTCCTCTCTCATAAACCAAAATGAATGCCTAGATTCACATAACCCCTCTTCCCCCATTTTCGATGAGAATTGATCCAGGAGCTTCCCCTTGGGAGATGAGGGGGTGCCACCACGTGGCTACTATAAGGACCTCAAAATTTAGTACTATAATGATGACAGATTAGACTACTTTTACAAGGTCAAGAAGATAATCATGAAGAATCATGCCAACATTAGAAAAAAGTCAATTATCTATAATCCAACCTAACTTCTGTTTTAGATCCTTGAAATAGTATGAAAGAGAATTGAGGCTGAGGTCTGAATGCAACCTATTGTCTCACGAGCCCAATCAAATATAATGACAATGTCTAGGGCCCAGAAAACAAACATCCATATGACTTTTGCATGCAAGTAGATAATTAATTATCATACCATTCTTTTTGCTCTCCTCAATTGCTCAGTAATAAATATGAAGTCGTAATGACAGCCAATAAGCTCATATAATGATTTCCAATTCTTGAATGCAGATTTTGTGTTGGAACTGCAGCAGAACGAGGAAGTTCAGGATTAGAAGTTGTTTAAATAATTATATTATATCTAGTATGCATAGAGTGTTGAGTAATGCTATGCATGGTTAGAAGTACATGAGCTCATGCAGTATATGGTTATTTGCAAGAAGCTGCTCTTCTATTTATATAAAGCTTGTGCTAGTGATCATTGTAATAAATCTTTCTATTCTTTTCTATGCCATTTCCAATGAACATTAAGTAATGTACTCCGTAACAATCAGGTGTGCTGCTATTATATTCCTTTATAACCAAGTTTGTTTAAAACTTTTCCAATTTCATTACATATTTGATTTTGAGTTTTTGACAGTGTGTTTGGTAACTTCACATTAAAGAGGAAAACTTGGTAAAAGCATGAAAATGTATGGATTTCTCAATTTTACCATGTTTAATTAATGAGGAAAAAACATTAGAAAAGCTATATTATGGCAATATGTTGAAAACTGGGTCGATTAGATTTTCATAGTTTCATTTTCAATTTAATGGAAAAAATGTAAAAATGTAAATTACTCTTTTTAATTTCAACAGTTTTCCTCATCAAACTAAACAGCAAGCTAGATTTTTTTTTTTTTTTTGGTTCTCAATAGTTTTGTGCTTTCACTTTCACCCATTAAACAACTACACAAATGAAACACTGAAACAAGTAATTATAATAGTTTTGCTTAGCTACATATTTTCATAATCTTACTTTTCAATAGATTTCATCCCTAACCAAGTTCCCAAACTCACTGTAAGCCTATTGAATTATATATAGAAATATAGTCACATGAGTAAATGATACATGGTAACATCATCCAATTCATACTATTTCGGTTTCACAACATTTGCATTACTTGCTAGTTTGGGATGTTACAAAAATGTTACAACACTTCCTTTTCTAGTAACTTTTAAGTCTTTCCCATTTACTTTATTCATACTTGGCACATACTTTCTCTCCCCTCCTGTCTATCTTCATTACAAAAAATACATCTTACTTATTGTGTAATCACCTGGATCAGCCACCCACTTCTATCCTAAAACAACTATGGAAACTTAGCGCCAGTCTAACCAAGAGATAGTCAAGGAGAACCTAACGTCCATAATTTCTCACAGGACATCCTTTACTCCCCACCGCCGCCCTCTCTTCTTTATGAGGCAAAGGCCAGGGAGTAGACTCAAACTTACATTCATAACTGAATCAACAGAAAGACCATCGAACAATTCCAAGAGGAAAACCACAATCCTAGAATAGAAAACCTACCTCCCATAGGCTGTAGCATAATGTAAAATATTTCACTGCAGTTAGCTAACTCTAATCAGCCAATGTAATCCAAATTATTATCTACAATAAAGGCCAGATTTTACAGAAAATCTTAAATAATCTTCTCGTAAACTAATTTTGTTAAAATATTGAACTAGTAACGAAAATTTTAAGTACGCAATATTAATTCCCCAAAAAAAAAAATACAGGGATATTGATGCAGAGATATTAATGGTTACTAGGAACGCATAAAATATGCTTTCCTGAAGAAGCAAATATGAGAAAACAAGCTTTGGCGAATTACTCTTTATCGTGCAAGCAAACCCACCACATAGGTCAAGTGTCTAGCACAAACAAGGTTAGGTTAATCTTTTATTTTTAGCCATAACTATGTAACCAAAAGATATTGAAGGGAAAATCACTAAGAAAGTATATGACCAACAACCATAAAATTTAACAATCAATCAATTCACAATGCAGCATTTATTTATTTATTTATTTTTTTATCAGACACTTCTCTCTGCTGAGTGCATTCCGCAACATATCACAGTTATAACTAACACTAGTGTGTTTCAAAGTGCAACACAATAATGGACATGTACATTACTGATAATATACATGTATTCATGCAACTAACATAAGATATTGTATTCAAGACATATTTAACCATTCAATTACATTATGAAGCAATTCTTCGTGATCATATATTATCAGTTAATTTCATACACATATACTCAAAATATTCATGGACATTTATGTACATCAAGAGGGAATATAGAGAAAAACTTATCTTTAGATTCTTGGCTTGAGTGTTTGACTTCCTCATCCTTCAATACAGATCTTTCCTGTTTGCGATAATACTAAGACACATAAAATAACCAACTAAACATTTGATCAACAACATTGCCTGTATTTCCTTACAACAAAGCCATCCAGTTCACTGTAATTTAAAGCCACACTTGCAGAAATGCAAGATAGATTAGTCTTTCAGTCAAGTGAGGTAGCATGACAGCATAAATGATTCCTTTTTCTGGGGATGTACAAGGTACACAATCCTATACACTTGATCCACCCCTATGTGCAAAAAGACAAAGTTGATTAGCTTTTGGGATATATATATCAGCAACCTTAAATCATCTTGTGCAACAATACTAAGCTGCTAAGTGTACCAAGGATGTTGGGAATCTTATGGAGCAGCCTATATTTCATGGAAAATGTTCCTTGCCAAATACATATTGTAGCTCTGATTAATTAGGCTGTTGGTTGGTTTACTGTTTGACAAATTCAGAGTATCTATCCATATAAGCTGTTATGGTCACTTGTTAACACAATAGTTGGTCAAAAAAGAAGTTTGATAAATTCAGCTTTTGGCTGTAAGCTGCTAACATGCAAGACATGATGGCTAAAAACCTGGCAAAAAGTTACGCAAGCTGCTTGGCTGTTCGACCATATCTATAAGCTGACAGCCAAGCATCGCTTGCCAAACTAAGCATGTGACAGTTTGACACTGACTATTAAATGCCGTGTCACTTCATAAAATGGCGTCTACTATCAAAAACATGGTCATTAAACAAGATCAATGATGATGGAAAAATTATCAAATTTCAATACTACCTACGCACCGTGTCACCACATATTAAGTTATGCTTTGTTTCATTTAACCAAACCCACTGATCAAGTAAAGCACCATCAAAGGCTCATATATACAACCACCACACTTCTAAGTGCAAAAGGTTGACACCTACAAAAGGATCTAGGGGTTTGCGAAACAAATTGGTAAGTTCCAACTGCTGATATTCATTTCATAAATCTTTTAAGACAATTCATAGACCATTTCTCAAACAGTATAGTCATTTACTTATGTATTGCTTACTACCAAGTCTAAGACATAAAAATGCTGGCATCAGATCTAAATCAGAGCAACAATGTTTAGAATTAATTTCATAATGGTGGCAGCTCCTCTTTCAGAACACCACCACCTTCCATCCTCCATGATCGATCAACAAGGGGCGCTAGCTCTCTGTAATTCAGAATACACAATATCACCATTGATACATCCACAGCATAGGAAAGAGGGGAAAAAATTAAGGAAAGCTTACTTAAGATCATGGCTGACAACAAGTAGAGTCAACTCCTTCTTCAGAATCTTCAGTAGTTTAGCCACATCTGCCCGTGCTTTCCAATCTACCTCAATCAATTAATTGATAGATATTTAAGTCAGACCAACAAAAAGATGCCTTCATAAATTAAAATGGTAGGAAGATTACAGTGGTCAAATTCTATCAGCCATATTCATGCATTTTTCCAAAATACTAATATGTGTCTTGTACAAAACAACAGGCAAAAGCAATCCAGCATAATTTTCAACCTTCACCTAAAGACAGTATGGTATGTCACTTATGTGTATGTACCCGTATTCATCCTTAGCATGACACTGAGACATAAGTTACTAAAAAAAAGTACTAGGCACTCCATCCCTAAATTGGTTGGGGGTCATTTTTTGGGATCTGAATTGAAATACCACATGTAACCTAAAAATTAAACATTAGCACACATCAGTGTAGTCTTTAATGGAGTTCTTAGTTGGGGACTTAAGGTCTATGGATTTTTCATTAGGAATAATGTAGATAGTTTTAACTTATCATACTATCTTTAGAAGTGGTCAACTATTTAAGGGAGAAACTGAAATAAAAAAATGTTAATGAGTTAGGCACGCAGGTGGTAATACTAGTAAATTATAAATAGAAAAAAAAAATTATTGCATCTTCATACCAAGACCAGCTAGGGGCTCATCTAGTATCAACAGCTCTGGAACTTGAATCTGAAACAAATTTGAGAAAAGTTAACAAACACTCTGGATCACTGCAACCAAATTATTGATGTCTTAGTTAAACTACTACTAACTCGAGTACCTCCATTCTTTTTTGAAAGTTGGAGTTGCTGTAGATACACATATTTAAAAGAATGGAGAGGGTGTGAGTAGTTGGCCATGTCCGCGTGTTAGCAGGAAAAAGAGTTTTTTCAGTGGGGTTTATACAAGGAAAAGAAAGAATATACACAGTTGTATAAGGGCTTAAGGTAAGGAAAAGAAAAAAATATATATATATATTAAGTGTTGCAGGTCGGACAATAAAAAATAGGAATAAGGTGAAGTGTAACAAACAATAGGGAACGGCCAAACGGGTGTTAATTGAAAGCATAACTATCAAAAAGGAATGGAAATGGTATTTATATTACCTCCATTTCATAATATTGGGCACCAACACCATCCAAGGATTGAATTTCATTGTTATATTTTCTCAATATATATTGATAAAATACATAAAGCCTTGAATTTCATCTGTGTTGAGTTATTGCAATAATTGGAGTTTCATAGTTCCCAACGCATTATTTTAACCATTAATATCTTCAACTATCTACAACTACAAATTTTAAAAAGTTGATATTATGAATGTATTCCTAACGTAAAAATCACAATAGATAGTCACATGGTTTTGTGTGAATAGTGTAAAACCGAATTGGTGCAATCATTAAAGAACAGAGGAAGTATCATAAGTATTTTACAATTCAAATGTTGTAGCTTTGAAAAGTTCTAACCAATATAATTATTTAAAAATATATATGTATACATATCAAAGTTCAAACGCAAAAAATGTAGGTGAGTTACGTTATGAAATGGAGGGAGTAAATACCAAGATGGATGCACACAATAAAAGCTCTTACTAATTGAATGGCAAGAGCAAGACGTCGCTTGTATCCGCCACTAAGGGATTGGGGATCTTTATCGAAGGGCACACCATCCAAACCAACCTAACAATTAGATAAATGCAAGTCAAAATAACACAAATAGTAGATTTAATCAAAGATCCCTCATTAAAATAATATAATTTTCAAAGAGATAAACAATACCCAATTTAGAGCTCGTGCAAGATTCGAAGCAAGGTGTTCCCTTATTTGAAGACCTCCCTTTTGCTTAGGCCAAGCGAATGTTACCTCCTCCAACAGCGTATCGGCCAGAAAGTATCTGACACAATCACAAACACCAAGAGGGACTTCAGGCCAGTGATAATCTAAAAAAAAAATACATAAATTAAAAAATAACTAGGGATATATCGATCATTGGTTCACTTAGGGGTGTGTGTGTGTGTGTGTGTGTGTAAAGACCATACCATTACACACATCCTACTTCTCATATGCATTAAAAGCTACTTTCTAGAAGCAAGATTAAGAATCCCATTGACCAACCACATTAGATGAAATGCAGCCCCTAATCCAGCAACACTGCACACCTTTCAGGAAACTGGAAAACTATACCAACTCGTTGCGGTGGTATTGACTCAGGAGGCTGATTTGGAGATCCATCCTCTGCATATCTTTGTAGAATGATGGAACCTGATGTTGGTTTGTTTAATCCAGCAAGTAGCTGCGAACAAAAAGAAGTTAAAAATTAACAGACTAACATAAACCACAGGAAGATAAGATGATGGTACTGCCAATAAAATTATTAAAACCTGCAGTAATGTTGTTTTCCCACTCCCACTCCGTCCAAAGATTAAGCCAAAACTGAGGAAATCATAATATGAGGTCAGCTTGTCAATTTTTAAATATACACCAGAAAGTAAAGAGACAAAGAAAGAAGAAAGCAGGCTCCAATCCATAACAAAGATTTTTCAAGCTACTAAATACAGAAATTGGAGTAATTGTATTCAGAAAAATACCAAATGAAGCATACCTTTTTTGTGGAAGACAAAAGCTTACGTCATTCAGAATATTGAGCTGAGTGCCAGGTGGCTTATAACAGAGCTTCCTAACCTTGCAGGAACCAAAAAAAAAGGGCACATGAGTGTTACAGTGTCCACAATATGTAAATGTAAAGATAATTTTCCATTGGATTCATCAAGATTCTTCAATAAAGTTTTAAGAAGCAGACTGTACCCATAACAATGAGAACAAAGAAAGTAAGAAACTAATTTCATCTACAAGCAAAACAAAAAGGTATGTTCCTAAAAGCACTTAATAATATTGTAAATTGTTATTTCATAAATCTGCAATCAGGGAATAGAAAGGTCACCTCATGTAGAAATATGGATGAAAAGATATGATAGCATCAGTAGTAGAAGCAGGGGCTAGAACATACTCAGCTGGCGGATTTTTCAGGATATTGATCCAGTGGAATTTCCTTTTAGATAGCCGCTACTCAACGAGTTAAGCAAGACTAATTTATTACTGTAATTGTAAGAGACCAAAGAGTTCTTGTAAATATAGGAGCCAGATAAGCTATTACACTGCTTAAGAAACTTACTCAAGGAAGACATTTTATATAATTGATATTACTAATTTTCTTTGATATACAAAATTAACTGACCATCTGATAGACTGATTCTATATATGCTAATATCATTCTACTATAATACATCACATTATTGATTCTAGTCCCTCTGTTTCGTAATAATCACAAAGTGGGGCTGACATAAAGTTTTAGGAAAACTATAGGGTAGGGAACAAAAGAAGAATTTTTTGATATAAAGTATAGTTAGTGGGGATATATATATATATATATATATATTTTGAAGAAAGCTATGCTAGTATTAATCAATCAAGGCAAAATCCGTGAGTACATACGAGGAAACCTCAATAGGATAATGGTTTTCCCACACTTGTTCACAACCAAAAGGTACTAGCTTAGCGAGTTGGTGCGCAACAAATTACCATCACGATTTACATGAGACCAACTAACCGACTTAAAAGAAGAACTAGCAAATAAAATGTCACCTAAGACTGAATCCAAATCAGTGAAATGAACAGCTCCTTTGGTCAGTCTCCGCACTAGTGAGGATATATATTTAATTGATAGTAGGAACGAGAAAAAAAAAAAAAAAAAAAAAAAAAAAAAATAATAATAATAATAATAATAATAATAATAATAATAATAATAATAAATAAATAAATAAAATAAAATAAAATAAAAAAAAATAAAAAAAAAAACCAAGTTAAGTGGGGTTGGTTGAAGAGAGAAATAATAAATTGGTTGTGGGTCATTACCAAATAAGGAAGTGTAGCAATTATGGTGAAACGGATGAAAAAGGAAAGTATTGCGATTATTATGAAATGGAGGGAGTATAAAGAAAGTTTTTTTTTATGAAATCTAAGACTAATGGTACTCACATGCAACAGAAGCCTAAATCCAGTTATTGGAAATGCGGAAAAAGCATTTATCCTACAAGGGTCTTCAATGTAAAATGTGCCATGAGGTTGTTAATTAGTGAGGTCAGCCCACACAGTTGCAATTATCAGGATAATCCTATACAAGTTTGGCAACTCTAGATATAAGGGTAGTTTATCTAAATGAAACTACAAGTTGTCTTACTTGTCTATCAGGAAGTATTAAATCAATCAACTGCACCATGTTTGGACTACCACTCTATTGATCTATTCTGAGGGATACCACAGACTACAGTGGTAAAGCTGCCAACAACAATTTATCTAAGGGGAGAACAACGAGAGCCCTCAGTATAAAAAGCTTAAGAATGTGCAATCATAAAGTATTGCTTCTCACCAACTGGATGTTGGTGTAGTGGTGATTGGGACTACACTTGGTAGGGAGAACTTGTGTTCGATCCTCCACAACAACAATTGGGAGGGGACTGGAACGGTGGAACCTAATCATCCAGAAGTGATCCCCGAATCCGGATTAACCCAAAGGGTGAACCGGGTGGAACACCAAAAATAAAGTATTGCTTCTCACGAGATCAATAAAATAGGGTTTATTTTAAAGAATACTATTTGACCCATTTACTCCATTATTGTAATCTATTTCCGTGGTACACTACAGTTTAAAGTTTAACTGATTTTATGACATTGATTTGGCTCATATATTTTTTTGCACATCTTTCTCAACACACCGTAATCCCTAATTTTCTCCCAGAAGTAGATGTAACTAGAAGTTCTAGAACCAACCATAAGACATCTAAATTAGATGGATCCACATTTCTTTATCAACTGTTTGTTATACCAAATACCTGATAATGTGCATTTTTAATTTTATGTCAAGTAGGACTGCTTTTTATTATTATACAATACTTTAGACTGTGTAATATGCGCATCGTAATATGCACATCATAATGGCTAAATCAATGATAAAATAAAAGGAAAACACGGTCACAAATATTTGCATAAGTTTACACAGATTCTCACCATTGGTGTCATAGTAATGCAATCAACTTAAATTGAACCATCAAGGACCAATAAGAGCAACATTAAATACTAGTATGTACAACCTACTTGTTAATCCTCGCATGTGTTCCATTCACCAAGAAGGAAGAAACACCCCTCATTGCTAGAATAAGTGCTAAATAAAATCATAAAATTCAAACAATCTACTTCAAATATCAGCAAAAATATGACTGTCTTTCAATATTTTTTTCAAAAAAAAAGGTAAAATCAATGGAAATTTACATGGTTGCAAAACTGTGATAATTTCCTTTTCTATTCCATCCAAATTCCACCAAATTACAAAAGAGAAACTTCACTGATTCTTCCCCACAAATTCCCTTTTTCCCAAACATTTGCAATATAGGTGGGTGTGAACCGAGACATTAGCTGACTAAACCCTAAAAATCAATTAACAATCACAAAAATCATAGAAAAATAATTGAAAGTCAACAGTCAATTTGATTTTGTTTTTTCCACAAACCCAATTGAATTTTTTTCTATAATTTGACCCAGAAAAAAAATTCAAAGTATACCCTAAGTCAATCATCATGTGTAATCAAATTAAAATAAAGTAAAATGCATTTGCACATGATAAATTGTAATGTAATTACCTCAAAGCAGGAATGGTCGCATAAGATTCTCAAAGACTGATTCTTGCATGACTTCAATCTGACAAAGAAAAGTTAAACACTAGTCAAAATCACTAAAACCCCAGAAAAAAAGGGTGAAATTACAGATTAAATTGTAGTATAATTCCATAAGATGAACATAAAAAAATAATAGAGTAGAGAAAATTGGAATGATTGGAAGAAGATGACGACTTACTTGAAGTTGGTGGGAAGTGAATAAAGTGGGGTACTCGTGAAATTGGAATGATGTATGAGAGGGGAGTGAGCTGCCATGCTCACTTCCATATCTCTCTTTCTCACTCCTAAGAAGGTGAATTAATGGTGATTTTGAGAAATGGGGAAGATGATTAACCAACACAAAATTGGATGAAAATAGACAAGCCCATTCCATTAGCAGTGAATCATAACGGGTTGGGTCACTTGGGTGGTTGGGTCAGACTCCCTTCGTTTCGTAATAATTGCAAGCCCATTGCATTAGCAATGAATTGATATTAGTTCGGATGATTCGCATCTTACCTTTTTTTTTTATTTGGAACGAGAAGAATAATATCATTAAATAAAAGTCATACGGCATCTACAATAATAAGGATCTGTAAACCACAGATTTAGAGAAATATCATAACTTTTACAATCAAAATCATAACTAATTTGCATATTTGGCATAGCTCATACTCCACCGCTTCAAGCTTGACGCGAGCAATGATTTTCGATGTCTTTGCATCTTTCCAAGTTGAGACCTCCGCAATCTGCGCTGATGTTTTGATTGACCGGTTGATGACAAATCCCAGACCCATAGGAATCCAAATCACCTTCCCAATTATTATAAGAACCCTAAAAATAAAATTCTCATCCATAGATGAGAATCAAAATCCCAGAAAATTGGGACAGACTCTCACAAATGGAGAGAACAAAACAAAACAAATAAACCAAAACGTAAAACAAAGCAAAAAAATAAATTGAATTAAAGAAAAAGGGTCGGAAATAGTCTAATTTCCGAAGAAATTAGACTATTTCCAGCCTAAACGGCCAAGAAAATTAAAACCCTAGAAGAGAGAGGAGAGAGGAGAGAAGAGAGAAAAAGGGGCGGCTTGATTCGCATCTTACCTCGATTCAATATAATCCCAACATTTTTCTTTTACATTTGTTTTATAATAGTTGCACACTTATTTGTTTAATAAGTATCTATTATTATTTTATTATTTCTCTCTTATCAACCTCACTTATTATTTTTTTTATTTCTCTTCTACAAACACTTCCCCATGTAAATTTTGTTATTTCATGTGCTTTTATTACTTATACGGAGTATCTATTAACTTTTTTACAAACTCCATATGAACTTCACTTTTTTTTTTTTTTTTTTTTTTTTGCAAACTTCATATGAATTTTACTTCCCAATAATGTACTTATACTATTTGTTCTTTCACTTTCTTAATACTTCGTACCTATGAAAATTATCCATAAGGGTCAAACTTTTGGGGAACAGAGGGAGTATTAGTTTATGAATGCATGACAAATTATAAATTATGGTAAGTTAGTTTAGTTAATGAATATATTTCATTATCACTTTTCTCTTTTAGCTTCTTATACATAGTCTGTTGAGCTATCAGCTATGTGTAGAACATTTTCCATAAATAATGCTAGAATAGAAATTAAACTTACTCCCTCCATGTTTTTTTAGTGACACACTTTTCTTAAACGGCCTTTTTTTTTTAAAGTGACACACTTCCTCTTTTAAAAATTCCTTACATTTTAATGATATATCTTCACCCCACTATCTCTTACTTTATCATTTCTCACTCCTTTCATGACCCCCACTTCCTCTCACATTCTTTTACTTTATCATTTCTCACTCCTCAAATCTACCCCACTAACATCTTATTTTACTAAAGTCAATAAAATGTCCTAAAACTACGTGTCGGTTAAACTGTGTCACTTAAAAACAACACTACGGAGTATTCCTTATATATGTCAATCTCTCAACTATTTCCTTACATATCACGGTTATAATCCATATTTTGATACATGTAGAATCTAAATAAGTTATACTCCGTAATAATTACGAGTACAATTTTGCACCTAAAAAGAATCTTTAACTTAAGTTGTAATCAATCAAGCATGAAAACAACTATCATTATGTTTTGTTGCTTAAGCAAACATGTATGATGGATCCATGGCAGTAATGTTGCACATTTATCCCAAGTCACCCATACATGCAAACATTGCCACACTACAATTATTATAGGCATGTTGCATATATGTAGTTCATTATATTATATTCACTACCAATTCGAGTAAGCCTTAGCCTTTAATTAGCTATTTATAGAATATTCAAATTTTAAATTTCAATACTAGATCAATAAGTTTACATGCAACCACTGAACCACAAAAAATAATTTAATGTCGTTGATGTGTTTCAAATCTTTCAATGCTTGAGCGGTTGCACTACTAACTTGGGTCAGCTTCTTAATTGCACTACAAATTATTGTAGTCTTGTAGGTTGTAGGTGTATTGCATATTTGCATGTTCCCCCTTACAAAACAATAAAGATATTGGATGCATAGTAAAATTATTATGGCCCATCAATATTTGCATCTAAATCGAGCCAATAATTTTGCTTAATTAAGTTGGTGGAAGAGATTTTGCATCATTGCATGTCATATCAGAATCAAGCCAATAATTTTGCATGTCATATTTCATACCATTAACTCCTAATGGATGTCCATTGTATCATACATAAGCAAAGCAATATTTAATGAATAAATTCCAAAAATCAAGGCTTTTATTTTCCAAAATGCCACTATATTAACATCTTATATCAATGGGGGCTCGCTCATTAATTTCTCATTTGGAGTTCCCTTAAATAATTAATGAGCCAAAAAAATACTCCGCAAGTGTTACATTAGCACTTGAATATATAATAAATGTATTGTAGCTAGATATAGAGTACCTCTTATTTAATGGCAGATTAGTGATAAGACAAAGAGAATTGCTTTAGAAACTACAGAATTCTCCTTGGAAACTGATTTTGGCACACCCTATGTGAGAGCACAATTTTTTATACTCTCCTCACATAGAGGTGTGCCAATATCAATTAAGGGTGTGCCAAAATCAATACTCATACTCATTACTACGGAGTATTAATTTTAAGGCATTGGGTGCACCTAAAAATAGGCATTATTCCCAAGGTTGTACGAAGTATTTGCTAATTTTGAGTTCATATAGATGCATAACACCTACGGAGTATTTATTAAGCATGTATATAGGAGGACATTTTGGGGGTTTTTCATTTGATGTTTTTCTACCGTGGTGCATTTATGTTTACTATTATGCACGTAGTGCGGTAGTGGTAGTATAATCTACCACTCAAGTATAAGTTGTCTTAATAGTACTTTTTGTATAATATTAATCTGTAGTGGGTACTTTTTACAAGTGTCATATTTCCTTCAAAATCTCTTCCACTAGGCCCACTTTCATGTGACAAACTTTAACTTAATTTCAATAATTATGTTAGCAAACATATACTCTCTCTGTCTCTTTATTTTTGTCTCATATGACTTTTTACGGTTTCCATGACGTACCTTAAAACGCATATATCTCTTATTTCATTCATGTAAAAATTATAAATATTTGATACTCCCTTCGTCCTTTAATTATATGTCTATTTCTTTCTTTCAATTATTACTCACATAATAGAAAGAAATAGACATATAACTAAGGGACGGAAGAAGTATTAATAAAATGAACTCAACAAGATCACACATGACTATTTTAACTATTATTAGATCAATGACAATTTATAGTCAAAGTTTTAAAAGTTTGACCCAAATATTAACAATGAAAAAAAAACCCAGAGGGAATAACACATTAACACCTATGCGTTATAGTTATTTGCTAGTAACTTTATTCAAAAGCTCTTTTCATTGAACAAAGAGCTTTGAATTTAATTCAGCTTTATCTTTACCCATGAACAACTAAGAATTACGCCTATAAAATTACTCTGTTACATGTAACTTGGATCTTGTTGACGGACTTGTTAGTTTTTAGTCTTTTTACCGTACCCCGAGTACCATTTAGGTCATTTAGGCTTTTGCCAAATCTAAACCAAACTACATTTTACAAATATACGTAGAACGCAGTACTTGATCATATAAGACAGAAAAATAAGATTGTGGTCATCTTTTGGGCAACGTTAAATGCCCAACACCTCCTTTCTTATCCCTTAAATACACTAAATACCAGCAATTAAGAACTGTCATGTCATTATTCTTACAATTATGCTGTGTTTTCGTCTCACACACGTGAATCCAATGAATTCTAAAAACCCCATTAAATACCCACAAATTATCAATTGCGAAAAACCATCAAAATCATTTCTTGATATCTTACACATTTCCTGGTAAAAACCCTTGATTTTTCTATGCAATTTCCATCCCTTTTCTTGTCCGTTTATTTAGTTTACTTGGGTTTTCAACAAATTTTATAATTAATAATTGCATTGCATTTGGTGTGTCAATTTTCTTTGTTGAATGTGAACATACCCATTATTATTTTAATGCTTGACTTTTCTTGGAAATTGTTTATAAATAAAGGGGATCTCATACTGTAAACTGTGCAATTATTAATTGTGTTTGTTATTTGTTGCTGTTGATCAGATAATTACTGATGGAGAATTCTGGTAAAAGGGTTTTGCTAACCTCTAATGGGGATGACGTTTCTGTTAACATTGCTTACAATTTGGCTAAACAAGGCTGCAGGTTTGAAATTTATTCTGTGTTTTCCAATAATTTATATTGTAAATGCATGTTTTTGTATGTTCTGTTCAATTTTAAAACTTGTATTTTTTTTTTTTGTTCATGTTTTGATCTATTTTGAATGTAGATTATTGTAATGTTCAATGTAAGTTCTCTGAAATGTAAGATTGGGATTGATTTCTCATGTCCCCTTAATCTCATGGTTTTGTTTAATGGGTTTGGTTGATATGATTTTCGAGTTTGAGTTCGAATTTTCGAGGCGAGTTTGCGTACATCTTGATGGAATTATTTGAGTTTATAAGATAAAGCTATATGTTTGACTAGTTGATTTCATTTGAAACAAAATTAGCTCACTTTTATTGGCTATAAGAATAAGGTTTTTTTTTTATTAGTGTAAAAGGAATGTGTAACTGTTGTCCTCTAAGGGCTCTGACATTTTGTTTAGATCAGTTTATTTCTTAGCAGGAATGTGTAACTTTTGTTTTATGTGACTTTTTAGATTGTATCTTAAGCAGAAAAAGTCTGCCTTTTGTTGGTATTTGATGTAAACAAACATTGATTATGTACTTTTAAGATGAGCCTCCACCATTTAGTTAGCCATGGGATCTGTATGGGTTAGTGGTGTTGTTTCAAAAGACGTTTTAGGTTGCGTTGTTGCTCGTAAGGAATCTACAGTTATGTTAGTTTATATGTACTCAGAAAGTCAGAAGTGGACAAGATATATGCTTGAGGGGTTATGCATTTCAAATTTTGGGATTCCCTTCCAATTTCTTCCTTTATAGGAGAAGGAAAATGAAGCTAGTTAATTCTCTTTCCCTTCCATTTTCCTTCCCCATTTGTATCCAAATATGTCCTGAACTGGGTACATGCTTTCATGGACTTTGTAATTCTGTATTAGCTAGAAGTGTCTCAGCCTATCAACTTAAGCTTCCAGATCTATCTCTAATATTCATTACATTTTACTGTGACAGACTTGGGCTATATATGTATGTTTTAAAACTTTGGTACTGTTAATTTGCACTCTATGTTTTCTGTCTGATAAATTTTTAAAAATGTTTAACAGGCTGGTTTTAATGGGTGATGAAGGCTGTCTGCGAAATATCGGTGATAGGATAGCTGATTCTATAAAGGATAAAAATGCAATTGAAGTCGTAGGATTGGATATGGAGGATGATAGAGAGGCGGTCTTTCACGGTGCTGTGGAGAAGGCGTGCAATTTCCTTGGAAAGTTGGATGCCTTTGTGAATTGTTATGCTTATGAAGGTAATTTAAGTGACTGTTAGTTTCCTGGATGTTTCCGTTGCAGAAATGCAAAATATGGTTGTTTTTATTAGAATAAGAGTGAAGAAGACTTGGCTCAGAAATTCCTGCATTGTAAATCCTTCTCCTCCTAAAAGAATTATAAATAACATAGAAAATTTAAAAAACAAGACGAAAAACTGCATAGTGGTTGGTAGGTTATTATATTAGCATTTCATGCAGGTGTTTGATTAGCATTGTTAGGCATTATATTATGTTACATGTAATATAGTAATTGTGGTGGGCCTAATTGAGAATTTTGTGGATCATGTAATTTTTCTGTTATATTAAATATTGAGGTACTGCTTTGTGCCCAGGAAAAGTTAGCTAAAAAGGGACTTGGATGTTACGTTATGCTGTTTAATTAAAACGTGTGGAGGCTCCAAATTTGCATTTTGTACATGCACTTCTTATTATACTGTTGAATTAGTCAGTGTATCTTTAACTAGTAGTTTATTGCTGCTTATCAGTTATCACCGTTGATGTGCCTCCCTTATATGTTACACTTATTAAATTGCTTATTATTGGCCAGTTCTGATTTTTGCAAAAGTTAAATAAAACATCTTATTAAACTGTCACTACTTATATGCTGAGAAGTCGTACATTAGTTAATTGCGTTCGCATTATGACATTGTAAACGTATTATTGTTGATTGAGTTCCTTGTAGATTTGAAGGTTGCTGAATTTTCTTATTTGTGACAGGAAAAATGCAAGACCCTTTAAAGATGGCCGAAGATGATTTCAAGAAAACCTTAAAAGTAAATTTTATGGCAGTCTGGTTCTTCGTAAAAGCCGTTGGAATTAAAATGCGCGACCAGAGAACAGGAGGATCCATTGTACTTTTGACTTCAATAATTGGTGCTGAGAGAGGATTATACAAGGGAGCTGCTGCTTATGGCTCATGTTTGGCTGGAATTAATCAATTAGTGAGGGTAAGATGCAAGTAATTTAAGCTCTGCAATTTCGATGGATTTTTTGAGTTTTTACACCTTGTCAGTAAAAGCAGGCTCAAGTGTCTTGCTGGCAGGGCAGGGGCATTTGGCTGCACTTTCTATGGCATGGCAGGGTGAGGTCCTGATGGGTACCCTTTTCCCAGTATACCCAGATACACCGCACCTTTGCCATGCTGTGGGCAGCTTGTGGCCGGTCTGTGCCATTTGTTAACTATACATCAATAATTTAAAATTTTAAATCAGTAAATCTTTGAGTAATGCTTTTTAAATTGTAACTCTCCATCCCATAATAATCTGCTGACTTCTAAGTGACTTGAGAATTGAGATTGATAAATAGTGGAAGATGCCCAATGTTAAAAGGAAGTGATATGGGGGAAAAGAATAATTAGAAAGGAATGAGGTTGGGGGATAAGGAAAGTTAACTAGAAAAGGATACACAGGCTGTTGAGATGTATGCTCAGTGGGCTAATTTTCTGTGCTGAGCGAGCTCATGCGTCCCTCAGAAATTGCAGCGTAGACATGCGAGCCTTATGCTGCCTACATGTCCCTGTTGGCTGGCCCCGTAGACATGCGAGCCTTATGCTGCCTACCTGTCCCTATTGGCTGGCCCTTTCTCACCCGAGGCCTTGTGCCAACATGGTCTTGTGCTAGCCTTGTCAGTTTGTAAAGCTTATAATGTCTCATTCTATCATAAGGTGGACAATTAGTTATTAATGTTGCCATTAGGTATGACTTTAAAAGCATCGGACATCTAGTATCAAAGTATAAGCGATTGATCCATCCTTCACTTGGATCATTATCCTGCTTTATGCATAATGGGTTCCCTCGTCATCTCCTTCAGTCCTAAATTAGAGTTTTAGACAATAAACCTTTTCTAACATGAGGACTTTATTTGTGGCCTTTTTCTTTGATTTGTCTATGTCCCTGCTACTGTTTTCCAAGAAATCTGGAAACAAACGGCTATCCTCATTTGTTTCGATTTTACACTTGATGAATCTTTGCATCTATTAGTAGTCTCTGTAAAGGATGCGTTTGCCTAGGATTCAGAAGGGGAAGTGCTGCTGGTCTGCTGGGAGAGAGTTTTGGCTTTTAAGGCTGGGATGTGAGAGGGTTGGGAGCTGGAATCTGCAGATGAAAGATGTCACCAGGAAAGAATCGAGGTGATTGAGGCTATATTAGTCAAATTCTGGGTAGGAGTTGAATTTGATTCCAGTTACCTCAGTTTCTTGACACTCCTCTTCTAGTACAATAAACTTCCTGTACTGCAATGTCTGCAATTAAACTTTTGGACTCAAATTCTATTTGTTTCTGTCCTCCCTTCACCGACTCCTCTTCGTTCTTTTCTTTCTTAATTTATAATATTCCTAGAAATTACTGAATACAGTTAGTGGTTATGTTAAATTATCAGTCCGTTTCCCTAAAAAATAAAAGTGAAATTTTTTTGCTTTCTTAAGATGTTGCTGACTGTTGTGCTATGGCTAGTATAATGGACCTAACAGCCCAAAATGCTTTGGCTGCAAAATACAAGACTATTTCTTAAAGGGTTTAGTGTGGAGTTCTATTTTTCTTTCATTTTCATCAATTTAATTTCAGATATTGAAGTACTGGTTTGGTAAATAGCATTTGTTGTTTCACCACCTGAAAGAATTACAGTTGGTTTTTCTTTTGTGGCGTATCATGACAAGACCCACCACCCACAGACCACAGGAGTGCAAATGGGGTAGGACCATGGCATGTGCAACCCATATGGAACTATGGCTTCATGTCATATTGATAATTAATTTTGTTATCTTAGTAGGTGGCTGGTTCAAATTATTCGCAAATTTGTTGGCATTTATTACAAGGTTGTAGGTTTCTGTAAGAAGTTGCTGTGTTCATCTCATGATTGATTTGTGTTAGGCAACATCTACTAATACTTCTATATCTTGCAATTGTGCACGAGGGATTTTTTTTGTTCACGGTTCTATTTTTTTTGACTTGTGTATCTGATAATGCTGACTTAATGACTCTGTAGATTATGGCAATGGAGATAGGGACACACCAGATCAGAGTTAATGGAATTTCCCGTGGCTTGTACATTCAAGACGAGTACCCAACTTCAGTGGGGAAAGAGCGTGCGGAGAGGTTGGTGAAAGATGCAGCACCTCTGCAAAGATGGCTAGATCCTAAAAAGGATTTAGCTTCAACAGTTAGTTATCTAATAAGCGATGGCTCACGATATATGACCGGGACTACAGTATTTGTCGATGGAGGTCAGTCTCTGACTAGGCCTCGGATGCGATCTTATATGTGAGTCTGCTAGCTGAATTGGCAAGCTAGTCTATTTGGAGTCAAAATCTACAATTGCTGAATATCATTTTATCATCACAGTTAGATACAACCTTTCACTATAGGAGGTATATTTATAGGAGGTTTAATTGTTACTGAATTTGTCAACTCATTATCTTTTTTGTTGTAAAAATAAAAGTTGCCATTAATATAATATAAATGATCAAGTTAATCATCCAGCTTGTTGGGCCCTAGTTTTTGTGTAGGTGTCATTTATATCATTTAGAAAATTTGCTGATTGCTGATGCAACTTGGAAGAAGCAATGTATGGTTTGGAATTGGAAAGGCAGCATTATATTTTGAAACTTTGATCTAGTTTCGTTGTGCATCTTTTGAATTTTTGGTAAACAAATTTATTACTGAATACAGAGTACTACTTACCGCGATTTTGAGTTGGTTTCGTATATTTAGACCTCCTTATGCACTTTTTGGTGAATAATAAAAATACGCGAATGTAGATGAAATTCTATTGCTACGACTTTCAAGCTTTGGTATTATTAGTCACGAACTCAGTACTTTTTTTTAATTACCATTACCGTTATTCATTAACGTATATGGCACATATCGCGCATCATGGTGACATGAGATAATTGTATGCCTTCTCTCACAATTATAATTTGCAATAAGTAGTGTACATGTGTGTGAGTCTCCATGATGTCTAGCATTTTGTTATTTTGTTGCAAAATTGGTGTAGTAGTTTCAACTAGTTTATCAGAGGTCCCTGCCTTCTTCTGCTGAAGTGAAAGATGAAAACTACCTCACCCTGTCTCTGTGTGGCCCGCTATGCATGCCTTTTTCTTCCCCTGTTTCAATCACCCTTTTTGTTTGTGTGTTCTCTTCTGTCTTCAACTCACTTGTTCATTGAACTAAAAATTAAATTAAACGAGAGAGTACTAATTTCTTTTATCTACCACTTTTCATAGAAAATGAAATATAAAAAGACGTTGCTTAATTAACAAAGCATCCTCCTGGTTGTGTCGTGTGCATAGTACAACCGATTATATAATGGAAATATTACCCGAGTAAGCGGTATGGTATGAAAATACCACGTACACCATACTAGCAAGGGTAAAAAAGAGTTACCCAAATAGCTCCCCTAAGATGGAGCAGGTATGATCTATTTAAGAATGGAGTGACTAAAAAGTGGAAATGATTAGAAAGTGGAAAAATAGTGAGTCAATGGTTCTCAACCCCACATTGGGTATTGAAAAATAAAGGGAGATTTGATTATAATTTATAAATACTGTAGATTTGAAGTTCATACAACTGTTATTTCTCCTGTACTTGTAAATAAAAGAGGCCTACTTCACGCTTTATGCAGGGACTCAGAATTATTATCACCAATATAATCCAACTATCATTGCAGAAATTATTTTAAAACAAATTATTAAAAAAAAGTGTTTTTTTATGTATGTACTGGTATATACTTTGCAGGTTCTCTGATTCTGATATCATATTATCGGACTCATTATGTTCACCCTCCTGAGGAGAGTCTCCTAATGTTTTTATATCCGTGATTAAGTACATAGGCTTAGATCACTACTCTATAAATACGGAGTTAAACCCGAAACCACACTTTGCATCCCTCTAAATCCAGTGATAAGACAAAAGAGCTTGTCTTTTTTACTTTCTACTGTAGTATCTAATGTGGGGGACAAAAATACTTGTGTTTCCTCTACACCCACAACTAATGAACTAGTCCTTGATTTCTTTTTAAGGGAACACAATTTTTTTTGCTCCCCCCCTACCCACAAAGTCATTTCCCTATCTCCCTTCCCACCTCATATTATCTCTCATAGTTAGTTTACCTTATGATCAATGGTTTTTCATTATCCTGATGTCCATGTCAGAAACATGGGTGGCTTAGGAAGCCCTAATTTAGTGCTCTTCTGCTCAAGAACTTGATTGTATGTTTACTCTCTTTCAATCACTATATTTAATTCTCTTCTTCATTGCTTTGGTACTTGTTTTTTATTATATAATCACATTTTGTACTGTCCATGCACTTTCTTGCAACTACTTTTGCCTTGGTATTTCAAAAACTATACTTTATAATATGTGATGTTTTGTATTCAGTTATATGTATGATTTTAACAGGCTTTAGGTCTTACTTTGTATGTTGGTATTTTTTGTATAGTTAGTAATTAACTTGCAGTTTCTTTTTCTTACTGTTTTTTGTATGTTGATGTTCATCAAGATTTGTTTTCTGATGTAAATGGAGTTATCAGTATGGTGATTTAGACTGTATACCGACATCGGTCTGCAGTGGGGTCGTAAACATAGCAAGTTGTGTGGATAAAAAGGTTTATTGAGTGGATATCATTGTAGTTTGTAGGAAGAGGAAAGGGGTAATGGAGTGGGACTCTAAATCATGTGCTTGGAATGGTGTGAGTAAGGTGGAGTTTCAAGATAATGGTTACCATCACCATCTGGCTACGTTAGCAGGTTCGAGTGGCACCGGAATTAGTAACATGTTTTCAGTGGATCTGAAGCTGGGAAGATTGGGAGATATGAGAGATCTATCTATGGATACCTTAAAGAATTCAATGCCTTTGAATATGGCTTCTTCGTCGTCTCCTTCACCGGTTTTGGCGCTTTCAAAGAGGGGAAGGCCACGCAACAGCGGCGCCCAAAGTACTGTTATTTGCTCGGTTGATGGGTGTGCTTCTGACCTTAATCAATGCAGGGAATATCATCGCCGCCATAAGGTATGTGAGAGGCACTCCAAGACGCCTGTTGTTCTTGTTGGTGGGAAGGAGCAACGGTTTTGCCAGCAGTGTAGCAGGTAACAAAAAGTTTACTTCTTTAGTTTGGAAATAAGCATCACTATTTACCAATGACAACTAAATTCAGAAGGATAAAAGTCAGTCGGTGTGAAATTAAAAGCTTTATTTTGAAACTTGAATGTTTAGTGAACTTAGTTACCCTCTAAGCAGCGCTAATTAGGTGAAATTATTATCTTATGAACTAATTTAATGGACCATTGACCTCGTTTAAGGTATTGTCTTGTCTGTTAGCTAGCCCTATTTCTGCATAGTGCTGATAAGAAACCATAACTTATTGGTGTAGATATAAACTTCTCTTCGGATAGCTTTAGGCTTAATTTTATATCCTGCAATGTTTGTCGCTGTCTTATGAGATTAGGCAAGCATCCGAGGTGCATTTATACAATCTATGTGCAGTTAAATAAGTTCCATAAAGTATCACGTTCATCCTTCAACAAAATTATACAATTCATGGATAAGTTTTGCCCCTTCATTAGTAAATCAATTCATAGTGGAAATAGATTAATGAATTTTTTTGTGCTGCATTGATTCTGCTGCATTACCTGTGTTATTTTAATTCATATTTTTTTCCTCTCAATGTATGCACTTTAACCCCTCAGGTTCCATTCCCTGGAAGAGTTTGATGAGGTAAAGAGAAGCTGCAGAAAACGCTTGGATGGACATAATCGTCGTAGGAGGAAAAGACAGCCTGAAACTTTTTACATGCCTGATTCTGCTGGTGGCGTTTTGTCATCTCATACAGGTGACCTGATCATTTAAATTTCATTGCATAAAACGTGTTTTGGCATTAATTATATATTAATTATCTCAGGACTTCATTTTAATAATTAAGATTTCGTATTATATTCAAAATGTAGCAGATGGAATGCTGCAGTATTCCTGCCCCCAAATGCATACTGTAAATTGGCCTACAATGTCTCAGCAGCCTGATTTGTACTTCCAAAATAACCAAGAAACAATATATCAGCCACTTCTGAATGACGTTGCTCCAACCGGAAGTAGGAGAGGCGGCCTAAAGGTTTCACCTGATAACTCAGGATGTGCTCTCTCTCTTCTGTCAAGGTATTCATCCCAATCGTCAGATATCCGTGTGGGACCTGCTATGCAACCAACGGTTATGAGTTCAGCAACAGCTCAAGGTAGCAGCACTTCTCTGCATCTAAATAACAGCTATCAACTTCCCTGCTCTCAGGGTTTGGACGATATTGAGAGTTCAGCTTCACTCTCTAGCAGTTCCAACACCAATGCTCCAAACATTGGAGGATTCCACACAGGCCATGCAGGGTATCGCGAAAACAGTTCTAGGATTTTCCCATTTGGTTGGGAGTAGTTAAGTCTATAAATACTCACTATTTTATAATCATGAATGTTAATTTTCTATGATTATTTGTATCAAGATCCTGTGCTATAAGAGGATATGAACTAACTTCCATCTTCTCGCTTTCACTTGATTCTTTATGAGAGCTTTTCTTATGTCTGGTGATCTTTCTCTACTGTGGCTTTTGTCCTTAGACATGTTGGAAACAAAGTTTTATGATTATTTGCATTAATGTATCATCAGGTTAGTTTGTCCTTAGCTATAGTGCTGCCGGGAAAGCTAATAAAAGTATTTCTTTGTTGCCCTTATTTTAGTATGTTACTCGCTTGTTGGATCCACAACACTCCGACATAGGTATAGACTAGGCCATGTCACTTATTGTTGGATCAAATAAAGGAAATTTTTCACAAATTACCAAGTCTGACACTTGGACACATGCATCATAGTCTGACACAAGCACCTCGAGTCAAGTTATACAAACATTCAGATAGCTGAGCCTTTTTGGTTTGAATATCAGAAAAAATCTCACAGTAATAGACTAATAGCAATGTTTATGGGAGTAATAAGAGTAGATTCTATACAATTTTAAGAGGAGCGTGTAAAAAAATCAGATCAGAATACTGCAGCAAAAATTAAACAGATTCTGAGGAAATTGGCAGAAGATCATTTTAGAGATATGATAATTATTTTCATATATCTTTTATCAGCGCTGAAAGTCTGAAACAGTGCTCTGCCCTCGCTCCTCAGTAGCCATGAAAGGATGAAGAGGATGCTCAATTATTAAAGAGAAGAAAAGAGAAACAAGAATACTGAAGAGCCTCAGACTGGGGCATCTTTAAAGGATCATACATTGATACCATTAAAAAGATGCCTGTAAATGTGGTCCATATTATGTGAAAGGACTTTATAGTGCTCTGAATCTCAAGTTTTGTTTTCAGAAAGCAAATCAAACTAGCCATCTTAAACAAAAGTGATGTAAGAGTTGTATGTATACATTATCTATCTCTAGTCACTTACACCGCGATACACGTACAACATACGAGTATATGAGGCTGCAGTACGTCGTTGCTTTAATTTACACGCGTACTCTTGAGTTGCTAATCCATGGAAGTCGTTTTCTGGTTTTAAAAGAATTTAGTGATGAAAAAAGATATGCTTCTGATCATTTTAAGACGAAGAAGCTAAATAGCTAGCTTATCATATATCATAACTGTTACTTTCTATATTAAAAAGTGTTCCTATAGATGTCAATGTGTCATGTGTCTCTATTCGCATGCAAAGAGGTTTGATCAGTAGATCAACACTTATAACCATCTTAACAACAAATAGTTCATGTCCTGTAAATCTACAAAAAAAAATATATATAAATACATGCATATTAAACTGTGTCACAAAAGTGAAAATAAACCAAAATAATTTATTGTTGTCATGATATTATGATTTACTGGCAAATAAAAAAACAAGTTTTTCAAGCTCTTTAAGATTAAAAAAGAAAAATGAAAAAAAGAACATTTGATGCATCGCTCGGACCAAACACTAAGCAACCGATTATCATAGACAACGTGATGTTACACTTAGCAATATCTTAATTAATTGCGTCTTTATTATTCAGTTGAAAATAACTTAATACTTCGTACGAAAGAAGCTACATCATAATTAAGAAATATATTACAATAACTCATAAGTTAGTTCTATATTACCTGGAAATAACTTTGTAGATAGTGACATGAACATGTAATCTTTTATAATTCATGAAGCATCAGAAATCTGGAGAACAAACAAGACAACTGAAAGATGTTATTAGTGTAAAAATTTACTTAGGAAAGGCAGCATATTGACAATTATTTTGTCTTTGTGTACTGTATGGGGGATAAAATGTCGTAAATACCCTTGATAAACCAATTGTTGTTGACTTTAACATCGCCCCTATTTAGTTGCCTAACTTTTAAGCAATTAGCCAGACTCTTGTCCTATCAACAAAAACTATTTAAAAATAGTTTCGTGTTTAAACCGACTGTTATCCAATAGGTTATTGCATTGTATACAATATTCTTGAAAATTTAGGTTCGCGGTAAAGTTGGCAACTTTTAACAAGTAAAAGGTGCATCAAGTAATTATAAATAGAGCATTTTCCATAGTCCATATAAAGGAAAAACACACCATATTCCATCAAACACTAATCATAAGCTAGTGATAAACCAGATAAAGATGGATTCGCAACAAAATCGTAAGGGATTCATCAAGGGGAAGTTGTTTTCCTTCACTCGAGCTTCAAAATCTTCCCAAAATGTTCATTATAGCAACAACAGAATGAGGCCAAACCTGTCATCTGCTTCTGTTCCCTCGATCACTTATCTTGTCGATCATCAAGACTTTAACTCTCAACCTAGACAAAAGGTTTCGTTGTTTGTACCAGAATACACCTACAAGTCTGTTAACGAGTTTGAAAGCTACTTCAGTACAGTAGATGATGAGAATGTTAACATGAAGGCTGCAAGCTATATTTCTTCTGTTCGCGAAAGGTTTAAACTTGAGAGGATCAACTCTGAAAGAAATAGCAGCTTAGAATTAATCTAAGTCGTACTTTAGATAATCGATTGTCTTTGAATTACCCTTGGGAAAATCTTTGTTCACACTTTTATTTTCTAGTGTAATAAATCTGTAGTAAATGGATAGTACGTGTTTTAACTTTTTAATGTATGTTACCTCTGATCTTGTAGTCTGTTTTCTGTATGTCATTGTTAATATCTTGTATAATGCTGTGCAATTTAGTAATCCAGTGTTAACTTCGTTTTTTATTCAGTCTATCAAGCAGAGTTCTAGCTACGTCGAATTCTTTCTATATGTTTCCTTATTCTTTTAATCATGTTTTCTATCTAATTTGGCACTCTGCAAGTGTTTAGAAGTTCATGAACTAAGAAAAAAAAATGTAGTTTGGATAATAATAATCGATTTTAGAAGGAACATAAGATATTTCATCAGAAATAGTTGTTGGAATCTAAACATGACAAACACATAGCCACTTGCAAGGTGGTGCCAAAACTTGAGGAACCAATTCTTGCAGTCTAAGATCTAAAAAGTTACTTTAGTGCACAAAAAAAATTGACTGAGGTGTACTTATTATGGATAATGTTGTATAAGTGAAAATGCTTGTGAGATTTTATCATGGTGAATATCTTGAAGTCTTATCAATCATCAGTGGCAGATCTAGAGATAAATTTGCATACGGTTTTTCGTTGGAAATGTGTTGTCGGAAATACCTTTGTCAGAAATATGCACTTTTCCGACAAAAAAACCATCGAAAAGCACTTTTTTCCATCTGTTGCATTTAAGGGTCATCGGAAATTTCCTATGGCTTCAGCCGTCGGAATTGTTTATGGCCTTCGAAAATTTCCGCCGGTTTTTAAAACCATTAGAAATTATGTATTTTCCAACGCTTTTATGTGGTCGTAGGAAGCTATCCATTTACAATATAATAGCGTGATTTCTTTTAGTGGCATCATATGTACGCAACTTTACCTTTATATATATATAATAGAGGCTTCTAGAGACACTTATAAGTTTTTTTTTTTTTTTTTTTACCAAAAAGAATCGAAGAAAGAAAAGAAAAAAAGATAACAAGATGAAAACATGAATATGTGGGAGCTTGCAATGAGGATAGTGAACACATCAAAGCTAGGATGTAAGGATGCCAAGGTGATTCCATCATGAATATGACTCTCTTCTTTTGTTATTCTCTCCATATGACCTATATCATATAATACATGCAGCCAATGCAAAAGGCATATTAGTTATCCATTTTGGACCACTTATAAATTCTTCTTTCTTTTACAAAATACGGGAAGGTGATAAATAATCTTATATTGATCAACACTGAAGAAGCAGACAGACTAAAACAGTCATTTCCAAATTACACATACTGCAATACTAGCTCTAGAATTTTTGTTTATCAAAATATTTTTACCTCCAACCTAGTTTAGTTATCACATCGATCATTGGGAAAATTACACTATCAATATGTTTCGGAGGAAAGGGTAGCTTACATAAACATGTATAGTCTACTAAGTGTCTAAGTGTCGTACTTGGTTTTTTTTTTTGGAATATAGAGAGTCACAAGCACAGAGGTGAAAAACTCTAACCACTTGAGCTATTTCTCACTCTTAGGCCCCGTTCTTTAGAGCTGCTTTGCTCTGCTCTGCTCTGCTGAACTCTGCTTTGCTGAAATCTGCCCTGCTCTACTCTACTTAAAATTAATACTTAATATTGAATTATAATAATAATAATAATAAATATTTAATAATATAATAATAAATAATTAATATTTAATAATAATAATAATTAATATTTAATAAGAATAATAATAAATAATTAATATTTAATAATAATAATAATTAATACTTAATAATAATAATTAATTATTAATATTTAATAAAAATAATAATAATATTAATTAATTATTAATATTTAATAATAATAATAATAAATTATTATTAATAATAATAATTAATATTTAATAATAATAATAATAGTAATAATAATAGTAATTATACTAATAGAAATAATAATACTTATAACTAATAATATTAATTAGTAGTAGTAGTAGTAGTAGTTGATTAGGGGATTTTTATCCTCCAATCACCTTCTGACAAGTGGACCAACCAGGTTCCGCCACGTGTCCTTCACGTAGGCCAATAGGAGCATGCCACGTGTCAATCACAGATTCGTCCTCTGCGGACCAATTGAGACACGCCACGTGTCCACCCATGCCAAATGGGGAAACCGGCCACCAAGGCCCAATCCTGTTTAGAGGCCCGGTCAGCCCTAGGTTTACCCTAAACCTAAAGAGTGGCACGCTTCTCAAGACTATAAATACTCTTCTTAATCCTCATTAAGAAGAGAGAGAGAAAATTACAAAAAAATACATTAATTACACACAGTAATAACCGGCTGATCTCGCTAACAAAGCAGATTACCAACACTAAGCACTCTCACCTAGAGAGACCTTATTACTTTAATTTCCGTATTAATTACTCCTTAATCAGGTACTAACTTGACCGTTGGAGGCGGAGCTCTCAGGAGTCTCCGTTATTTTGCAGGTACAGGCGTCCGGTTCCAGTCTCGGAATTGTAACTCTCCCGCAGGACATCAGAAAACCCCGAAACATTTGGCGCCGTCTGTGGGGAGAGTACTTCAGAGATGGCATCCAAGTCTGTACCGACTCCAGAAGAGAGGCGTCCCCTAGACGACCCTCAAGTTCAGTCGGACCATGATACCGAAAGTGAATTTGAAGTTGAAACTCATACAGCTC